GTCACGCCTGCTGAATCCATTTGATGAGCAACACTGTTAGGAAAGGAAGGGAAGGGAACACGCCGTCAAGCACTAACGCTAATGAGTCGAAAAAGCCTTTATAGAAATTCCCTCTGTTCCTGGCAGAAGCTGTCGAACGAATGAGGAGTGCATTGGTGAAGTCCTTCTCCACCCCACCCCACCCCCACCCCTCCGCAAGCTTGATGCGTAAAAAATGTCTTGGGGGGTTTTCTTCCTGCTTGCGTCACAAGTGAGGGCGTTATCCGAGGGGCTGGAGATACTGCGAGCTGGATTCCCTCCTCTCCCACTTCTTCCCCCCGCCGCCTTCTCTTTCTCTAAAAGCAGCCAAGCCCTCTAGATTCCCACTTGCCCTTATGTAACTTCCCGCGCAGGCCAAACACAGTGGAGGCAGGACGCTGAGCAGGCTGCAGGGAGCCTGTGCCACAGCTTACCTGGCTGGCTGCGTCAGCGGCTGGCCTGCATTATCTCCAGGCTTTTATCACCTTGTCTGTCTTGGGTGAGTTGTTTTCAAGGTGAATTTGCTGCTTGTGCAAAGCCAGGCTGAAGCCAGTGGCCTGGCAAACGCAGACCGGCACTGTGCCAGCTTCTTCTGAGTACCTTTGGGGCGGCAGGCCTGGCTTGCTCCACAGCAGAGACTGGCTTTGGTTTCTGATGCTTTTTTTCCCCCCCTTTATTTTAAAAATAAACAAATGGCTGCCACAGTCAGGGCTAAATCATTGCCTTGTGGCCAGAGTCAGAATTCGCACGTGGATGTGCAGACACACCTCCCTGCCACCAAGCAGCACCCTCCTTCCCCTAACCGAGCAGCCAGGCTATTGGTTTTGAACACTATTGGCTCTGGGCTCTGTAAACATGGAGACAGACTGGAGCGGGAACCTTTGTGGAGTCTGGCTCCTCTTGCACCTGCCGTGACGTCCTGAAGAGCAAATTTGACCTGGCTGCATCTTTTCGGAGCCCCACATGGTTGTGAGGATCGGTGGCAATCCCATACGAACCCTGCGTATTGGCAGAGCGAGGGAAGCTCGTGAGAGTTTGATGGACAGACCGCCCAGGATGTCATCAACAGCGGAGAGCCCTGAGGTCGGCATGTGCAGCTCTTGCTGGCGTGAGTAGACGTCGCTGGCAAATCTCCGGGGCCCTGGTGGGTGGAGAGGCCCTGTTCTTTGCAGGCTGTGCGAGGACATGGGCCTTCCTCGCCGCCCTGTTGTGTGGGCCGTGCCTGTCACATCATGATGAATGTTTCTGGCACAAGGGAGAGTCCCTCGTGTAAGCTAGACAGGCATCTGGAAACCAGTGCGGTCTGTGCACTGCTCAAGCTGGTAACCGTCCGGCTTCCATCTTGGGCCAGAGTTCAGAACTGAGCTGCCAGTGTGTGTTTTCTCTTGACCCGAGTGTCGAGCACAGACACTGTCGGAGGCGAGCGCTTGCTTGTCAGCCAAGGGGCTGCATCTTCCTAACGAAAAGCTTTGTTCAGAGGCCTCTGGGAGCACATGGGGAAAGGCCACCGCTTTCTGCACCATTTACCATTCATTGTGACTCACTTGAAAAGTCTATTTCGGTTCCCTTTGTCCCTACAGCACCTGCCTTGTTCCCGAGATTGGTGTCAGAGCTGTAGTACCTGGCGGATGGTGTAGGAGGCATGAAAGAAAATGGCCAGTGTGCCTAAAACCAGTCAAATAAAATGTTCACAGGAGTCTTATCAATCATACAAACTCTTATTTATTTGATTTATAAGGTGCATTTATGACTCCCTCTCCGGGCATATACTAAACAGCAGACGTTCAGTGACCACGTTGGTAATTAGCAAATTGATTTAATTGCTGTTTAAAGGGTTGGCTCAACCTTCTGCCCTGTAAAATGAAGCGCCCTGATACCTCATTATTAGCATTTAGAGTTTGCATACACCTGTGGAATACATAAAGTCCTGGAAATACTAGCTGCATAGCTAACCTTGAACAGGGCAAAAGGATTGTAATTAATGTAGCTATTCAGAGAGGCTCCGGCCTTCTTACCCATTGAGTAGACCTCAGACAAGTTGGTCAATTGACTTGCTTAAGTGGATTAATTAAACAAGTACTTGAATGCTAATTCCGGGCAGATAGTCTGTGTCTGTCTGTCTAGCCCTTGCAGACATCCCAAAGGGATCACACAGTGAGAGTTTCTTCTGGTTTTTTTGGATTGTGCTTACTTTGATCTTCTCTAACTGCCATTGTAAAGTTCAAAAGCAGCTCTTCCTTGGGAGGAAATGAATCCCTCGCCCCCCCGAGGCCTCGGGGTGACCACAGCTTTCTGATTGTGTGTGCTCTCTGTGTTTTCTGCCCTAGGAGTCTCTTTCAATAGTGTTTACACCCAAATCTGGAGAGTCCTTCTACACCTGGCTGCTGACCCATACCCAGATGTCTCCGATGTGGCCATGAAAGTGCTCAACAGCATTGCCTACAAGGTATGACCGCCAGTCTTCATGTGGTGCCTATGTGTGGAGGGTTTTCCATCCCCGGACAAAGCGCAGGGGGACTGGATTTATATATGCCCAGTTGGAGGGCCATGGTAAGTGACCCAGCTCAGTCTGAGCCAGCGCTGTACTGGTAGAGAAGGAACCCCCGCCATCCAAACCAAACCGCCCTGACGAGTCCCTGGCCAAATAAAAATGACTCTTTCAGGGGGAGGCCGGAATTATTTTAGAGGTGCCATTGTTAGCTGGAGGCCTTAAAAACCTGAGTCTTGCTTACTTGTCCAGCAAGTCCTTGGGGAGGCCTGACAGTCTTCAGTAAATTATCACTTTGCAAACTGATGTAGATCGTGCAAGCGGGACTGGCCTGGAGAGTGACGCCACCCCGGCCCTCTAGTCCAGGTGAACATGTGAGTCTGCATGAGACCCCCTTCCTGCTCCTCCCCTCTTCAGCACAAGCCTAAGTCACCCTGCTCCTCACATTTCATCCTGCTGAGAAATCCCTGGAGGCCAGCAGCACTGCTACTCCAGAATTGCCAGCCCAGGGAGCTGTACCAGCACCCTCCCCCTCCCACCAGAAAACAAGCACCTGATCCCTTCGGGGCTTCTAATCACCAGCCGCCCGCACTGGGATGCCACCCAGACGTGTTCCTGCCCACCCATTGGGATTCCACCTGCACAGTTGCTCTAGCAGGACCACGACCCGTTCCAAAGCAAGATGGAGTCTCTTGCTGATTTTACCCCATCACTTCGACGTGAGCTCCTGAGCTGGCCTGACTGTAAGAGATGCCAGCAACACCATCCACTCTGACAGTGCTAGAGACCCTGCTTTACATCCGTTTGTGACCTGGAAGTTAGTTCCCAATGAACCCCTTTGTTCACTTGTTTTGGATACGCTCACGGCTCAGGCTGCAGGCTTCAAGTCTGGGCATTGCGGGGAGGTGGGATTTTTGTGTAACTTCTCCTCCTGAGGTGGTGAGCTGAGCTCTCCCGTTCGTGACTCGGGTACCTCTGCTGCAGACTGGCAAATCTCAAATTCAAAGTGCGGGGGGAATCGGAGCTTTCAGACTCTCCTTTCTGGACCACGTTGTGGTCGTCGTTAGATTCTGCAAACAGAAGCTCTAGTTCTAAAATGGCGGGATTGCCCGGGGCGTACAGCAGATCTAGGCTCCCCTTTTCCTGTCTTACCTGTTTCTCTGGGGCTTACCCCTTTGCTACAAAAGAGCTGCATGAGCACCCCCGGCGAGGTGGCGGTGTCCTGTAAATGTCTTCACTAACGTAGCACAGTGCTGCTGAGCCAGCAGGGGCTATGGGCTTGTGAACGTTGTGGTGTCGGGGTGGGGAATGGACGCTGGGCCAGGACTGGTACATTTTGATGGTAACTTTTTAAGGCTCAGACCTAAGCCCTGCAGCACTGGACAAAGTTCCTTCTTCACTGGAGGCCCCAATCTGGATTTTGGGGGGTTGCTCTCCTGGCTTGCTGACTCCTCCCCTATTTTCTTTCGGGCCGTATGCTGAGGACCCCAACTCCCAGGCTGCTTCTGGGGGTAGGAAGCTGTGGTAAGGGCGAGGGGAAGTAGGAAAATCCCTCTCGTTGACCATGAGCGCATCCCAGATTTCACTGGGCATCAGCGTGGGCACGGTTTAAGCACACAGACCTCTTGCATCTCATGCTGCATTTCCCTGGCGACTGCTCTAAGGCCCCTGCGCTCGGAGGCAGCGGGGTCAGATGGTTTTACACCTGAAACAACCGAAGCATTTGTCATCGCCAAGATTTCCAGCAACTCTGCCTGCTTGCCCCCTTCGCCTGAGCTCGTTACCCAAAGCTGCCATCTCCCCTCCTGACAAGGGTGTGGTGTGGCTACTGCAGGAACAGCCCCCCGAACGGAGTAGCACAGCTGCCGTGTGGATTATTTCCTGTCTGTGGCTCTCTGCACCGCAGCCCTCGCTTGCGTATCACTTCCATAAAAAGGTGCACCTGTTCCCCTTGCGTAGCTCTTTTCACTTCATACCCCCATGGTGCATTGCTTCAGCCTCTCCAGCAAACCACACTGGCCCCAGCCACTCCTGGTGAGGGAGACCTGCCTGTAAAATTCTACAAACCGTGGGCCTTTTTTGACTAAGTTAGTTAATGATGGATTAGAGCTGGCTAGTTAACTAGTTATCTTCTACCCTCCCGCCACTCGCATCATGTGCCCTTCCCCCTGCCCCAGATAATGGCTCAAGTACGAAGTTTGATTTGCAGTGCACGTGGGCAGTGATGTTCCGGCACCTGTGTCTAATGGTGACAGCGGGGAGCCTCGGGAAGCAACGGTTTCAGGCCCTCGGTAGGCTCGCTCAGGTGCCAGGCCTTCTTGCTAAGAGCACAGAGTGCCTGCTTTCCAGCGGCCGCTGCTCGTGTGTTTGGAGAGCAGGTGGATGTAACACAATCGTGACTACTTGTGCCTCTTTGGAGCCAGATCTGTGACATTCAAGAGGGATTGATTCTCCTAAAAGCAATTGCCATTGTGAATTTTCTACTAGGGCATCTCTGGGGGAGGGAGGGAAGAAGAAAGCCGAGCCTGCCTCGGCAGGTCCTCTGGCTCCCTCCCAGAGCGACAGGACAGAGTCTGTGTGCGCTCGCAGGCACGAGTGCCTCAATTTTGGGTCCACGTTGAATTGTTGTGTGTGGAAAGTGCAAAGGCAGATACAGCTGCTCCCACTGGACACTGCTCTGCCTTTCATGCTATTGACTGCCTGGATCCCAGAAAGGCAGGCAGACGGCTCTTTCTGCTCCCATCGTGAATGTCTGACTCATGGTCACGTACTGGATCAACACTCCTGTGCGTTGGAGGTTCTCTCGGCCAGCACCCAGGTCTTTTGCCCCGTTGTACAATGCAGGCGTTTCAAGAGGCCATAAACGTCCATTTGCCCGTGTGACTTTTGGGGGCTAGCAGGAACGGCTGCACTTTGTTCCAGCCGGTTTTCAAAGGCGCAGTCACACGTCTGTCCCTTAAAAGCTCTTCTAGCAGGCGAAAGCCAGGTGTTTTAAAAGGAGGAGTCCAAGGAGCCTGAGTTTTGGGGGTTTAAGCAAACTGAAGATTTTTTTTTTTTTTTTTTTTTTTAAGGTGGCTGATGCCCTGGGCTGGAACCGTGCACAGCCTGGGGGGAGGTGAGAGCGTTTGAGTTCATCGCTGACACTTCTCTGGCTGATACTTGCAGCTGCAGCCTGGCTTCCTTAGCTGGAAGGAAATTATTTCTCTTGCATTTTCTGTTGCATTGTCCCATGCGGAACTAGTTTGGAATGCTTTGAGATCCTCTGGTGAACGTTTGTACCTCCAAACGGCCACACGGGCTCAGACCAATGGTCCATCTAGCCCAGTCTCCTGTCTTCTGACACTGGCCAATGTCAGATGCTTCAAAGACAGTGAACAGAACAGGGCAACCATCGAGCGATCTTCCCTTGTCACACCGTCCCAGCATGTGACAGTCGGAGGCCAATGGTCATTGACGGACAGGGGAACCGACAGCCTGCGCAGACCCCGGGCAAGGTGTGGGGAGGGTCTGGCTCTGTGCTCCTGCAAGGAACGGACTGGGGGCAGCCAGCCCTTCGTGCCACCTGGAGCGCAGTGCACCCGTTTCTCCCACCCTCAGAGCCGTGCAGTGCTCCGATGGCAACTTAAATGGTTGGGGCAGCAGCCACCACCACTATCACAGTATCAGCAGTGGCAGCTGGGAGCCCCAGACCCCTTCGAATTGCTGGACCCCTATCGGTGGGCCTGTTGATGGACCGAGCCTCCAGGAACGTAGCTAATTAGTTTTGGAATCTAGTTACAGTTTCGTCCTTCATCACATCCTGCGGCAGCAAGTTCCACAGGTTGACTGGATGTGGCAGGAAGTGCTTCCCTTTTGTTTTAAACCCGCTGCCTGTTCATTTCATTGGGCAGCCCCTGGTTCTGGTGTTATGCAAAGGGGTAGATAACATGTCTTCATTCACTTGTGCCACATCTGTCCTAATTGTATAGGCCTCTATTATAACCCCCCCATCCCCTCCCCCCGTTGTTGTCTCTTTTCCAAGCTGAACAATGTCAGTCTTTTTTTCACCACTCCAGTGTGAAAACTGCCCTACCCAGAATCCTTTTTGCGCCCTTTTTCTGTACATTTTCCATTCTGATGTATCTTGGCTGAGATGACCAAAGCTGCATGTAGTAGTCAAGGTGCCGGGGATTTCTAAAGTGACATTTTACAGTCTTATTATCTATCCCTTTCCTAATGGCTCCTCACATTCTGTTTGCTTTCTTGATTGCTGCTGCACATTGAACGAATATGTTCAGAAAGCTATCCACAGTGACCCCCAGATCTCTTCCTGGAGTTTTTTCAGCTCATTTAGACCTCGTCGTTTTGTATGCATAGCCGGGATGACGTTTTCCAATGGGCATCGCTTTGCACTTATCAACATTGAATTCATCTGCCATTTTTGGTGCCCAGTCACCCAGTTTTGTGAAAGCCGCTTGTAACTCGGTGCCGTCAGCTTTGGACTGAACCGTCTGTCTTCTGCCAACTTTGCCCCTCCTCCATTAACCCCTTTTACCAGATCATTTGCAAATTGGTAGAACAGTACTGGTTCCAGTACAGATCCCTGGGGGGAAACCCCACTATTTTTCTCTCCATTTCTGAAAACTGTTTATTCCTATCCTTTGTTTCCTATCTTTTAACCAGACCTTATCTCTTGTCCCATGACAGCTTAGTTTTCTTCAGAGCCTTTAGTGACGGACCTTGTCAAAGGCTTTTTGAAAACCCAGATACACTTTACCCACTGGATCATCCTCGTCCACATGTTGGTTGACCCTGTCAGAGAATTCTGATGAAGCCATCATTGCTTTCCACAGCAAATTGTGTTCATCGGTGTGTCACATAATTCTGTTCTTTCCTATCAGTTTGCCTGGTACTGAGGTAGGCTTACCAGCCTGTAGTTGCCAGGATTGCCTCTGGAGCCTTTTTTTTTTTAAATGGCATCGCATTAGCCATCTTCGAGTCATCAGCTACATAAGCTGATTGAAATGATCAGTTACAGATAATAGTTCTGCAATTTCATACATGAGTTCCTTTAGGACTCTCGGGTAAATACCATCGGGTCCTGGTGACTCATTACTATTTAATTTATTTGTTTATTCCAAAGCCACCTCTATCAATTCCTTAATCTGGGACTGTTCCTCAGATTTGTCACCAACTAAGAATGGCTCATATGTGGGAATCGCCCTCACGTCCTCTGTAATGAAGACCGATGCAAAAAATTCATTTAGCCATGGAGGGTTTTTTCCTTCCTTGAATGCTGTTTTAGCATGTTGATTGTCCTGCGGCCCGACTGAGCGTGTAGCAGCCTTCCTGCTTCTGTTGTACTTTAAAAATATTTTCGTTGTTCGTTTTGGCATCTTTTGCTAGTTGCTTCTCAAATTCTCTCAGACTGCCTAAATATACTGATACAATTGACTTACCAGAGTTTATGCTCCTTTCTCTTTTCTCCAATAGGATTTGACTTCCAACTTTTAAAGGATGCCTTTTTGCCTGTAACCACTGTGCTTTGGCTCTGTTTAGCCACGCTGGCTTTTTTTGGTCCTCTTACTCTTCAAGGTGTAGATGTTCAATAATTATTATTCAGACCTAGAAACAGACAGACGCAAACCAGCAGGCTGCCGCACTCTAATGGAGGGCAGGTATACTGGGCCTTTGGAAAATAGCTTTCTCTTCCCCGAATAAACTCACAGCCCGCTACCAGGAAATGAAGGCAGGCCGACACCTGAGGCTAGCTAATGACTTGCTGGAGGGAGCAAGCTAAAAAATACCTGCAGCCAATTAAACCCTGTGGGGCTGCTTTAAAAGGTTGCCCCAAAGTAAGGAGGGGGGAAGACAGCGTGTCGGACCGGAAGGAGGCAGTGCGGTACAGAAGAGCGCTGTGGGTGAGAGCTGAGGACGGACTAGCAGGCACCAGAGGGAAGGTTCTGGGAGGGATTGTTTGGGGAAGTGGCCCAGGGAAAAAGCTGCCAGAGTGGAAGCAAAACCCTCCCTATCTGTTGCTGCTGGGCCGGAACCTGCGGTAGTGGGCAGGCCCAGGTTCCCCCCACGCCAACACAGAGACTGCCCCTGAGAAGGGAGCCCAGGACTGCAGAGGGGTTTTCACCCCAAAGGCACAAACTAGCCTGTGAGGAGGATGGCTCAGTTAGCCGCCGTCCCTGCCTCTTGGAAAGGGAGAGGGGCCGTGTGGCGGGCCACAGCGAGCCTCTGAGGCAAACACCATCTGCCGGTAACACGGGACCCACGGGGCGCGGCGGGAGCTTTGCCACGCAACAGAAGGAAGCTGGGAAGAACCCTTGGGTCACAGCTCTACTGGCAGGGAAAGCTCGTTCAGGAGTGAGAAATCTGGATTGGAACTTTTGCTGAGAGGGTCAGTTTTGAGTGTGATAGGAAATCGTTTCTTTCCTGAGACGAGAGAGGAAGAAAGCTCATTGCTACAAGGTAACCCCTAAGCTTGCTACTCGCCCATTGGCAGTGGAGATCTTAGCTGGTAATTTAATCATGGGAAAGGATTAGGTGTCACTCAAAAGCCTTTCCCCAGTACGTGGCAGAAGGGCCTTTTTCGATACAGGTTTCCTGACAGACCAAGAGGTTTACTAATCCAATAGTGGTTGGATGGGAGCTGTTCAGGAGGCCGTGATACGCCCCGCTCTGGTAGTTTAATCACATTTAACCTGGGACATGAGATTTTATTGGAGAATAAATAACTGCAGTTGCTGTTGGCCCCTTCTCGGTTGTTGAATCCTTTGATTTTTCCTAGGCAACAGTAAATGCCCGTCCCCAGCGCATCCTCGACAGCGCCTCCCTCACACAGTCTGCCCCCGCCAGCCCCACCAACAAGGGCATGCACATCCACCAAGTGGGGTAAGTGGCCTCTGAAACGGTATTTCCTTGCCAATTACAGCTGTGCGGATCCATGCACTAACCATTCGGCCACCCCAGTGAACCGAGACGCAGATGGGGGGCCCAGCAGAACGCTCGGTAGCTTTCTACCCCGCAGTGCCCAGAACACTGGGAAAGGGGAAATCTCTGTAAAAAGCTGGGGATTTCCTGCTGCCACCCTTATCTGGACAAGGGGCGGCCTGGCACGCTGACGGCAGGATAAATGCTCTCGTTCCTCACCCTTTGAGCTGGGAAAATGGGCCCTGCGTTTTCCCGCAGAACTGATCTGCCTTCTCACCGCTTAGAGACGGTGAGGACCCAGGGTTGCTTGATCCACAGCAGAGGCTGCATCTAAAGTGATCCAGGGCAAGAATGACATGGGCAAATCTGAGCTTTCAAAATGAGCTTTCCAACCCCGTGGAAACCAGCGATTGGCCGTTTGGATCTTGCAGCCCTGCTAACGTGTCCTGCCAGAAAACCGCCCGGCGGAACAGGGGCACAAACGTGGAACGAGTCGGTGTTTCACTGGCCTTGTAACAGGATAAACATCAGGCTCTCTCGGCCTGATATGCTGCAGCCGACATGGCCCCTGACATCCTTGGTCAACTAGACTCGCTATTAACGTGCTTTGGCCAAAGGTGCCTTGACTGAGTTCATGGGAATTGTCGTGGCCCTGGGGACCGGCGTGTTCCCACTGAGCACAGCTGTTTCAGTCTCTGGGCCTGCGCTTAGGTCGGCACAGACGCGTAGTTTATATTTTGAAGTCCATGCCAGGGAAGTCTAAAGCAGTGGTCCCCAACGCGGTGCCCACGGGCGCCATGGCACCCGCTGGGGCATTTATGTGCGCCCACTGAAACATCTGGGCTGGCCCCGGCCCCGGTGCGTGGCACATGTGTGGTGCCAGCCCTGGGCTCAGGGTGTGTGGGCGGCCCCTATCCCTGGCGCACGGCACATGCGTGGTGCCGGCGTAGGCCGCGTGGGCAGCCCCCACCTCCGGAAGCGCGGCACATGAGCGACCCTGCCCCTGGGCGCCCAGCAGCCACGAAAGGTTGAGGACCACTGGAAAGCCTTAAAAACCAAACTTGTCTCTCTCCAAGTTAAAACCCCTTGCGAAGGAAAGATGAAGGGGTGGCCCAGATACGTGATGTCGAGGGCATGCCATTCTCCAGCACCCAGATTTCCAGTCTAGCCTTAGTCTTCCCCCGGCCGATGGGTTTTTCCCCCTTAACCCATGGTTTGGTTGCATCTCCCTCCGGAGTAGGGATGTGGGGGAAAAAAAAAAAAAAAAAGTTAGTAATGTAACCGGGTCACCATTAAAAAAGCTTAGTGGTTACACACCGCAGGCTTCCTAGGAGCGGAGCTGAGAGCCGTCGTGTAACCAGAACAGAAACTGACAAGCTGATCAGTTAACCGTTTAAACGGTTCCCCTCTTGCACCGCCCCGTGCAGAGGAGCCGGAGTTTCGGCAGCTGCTCATCACTTGGGTCAGAAAGTGAGGGCAAGGCCGGGCTTCGATGCCACGTTTGTCCCTGTGTTCTTTCCCAATGTTAGAGGGTCCCCTCCGACGGCCAGCACAAGCATCTCCAGCCTGACAAACGACGTGACGAAGCAGCCAGTCAGCCGGGACATCCCATCCGCAAGACCTTCGAACGTCGGCAATCTCGGGGCCCAGTACACCCCCCACTCCCACCAGTTCCCCAGGACACGGAAAATGTTTGACAAAGGGCCAGATCAGGTAAAATGGCTCTTCCGCCTCGCTGCGGCCCCCCCGCCTTGTGCACTGTTTGTCACAGACTGTTCTTTGCTCTCCTCCTTTATAAATATCCCGCTTCGCTTTTTGCCGCTGCCACTGACTCATTTAGTTTCCCCTAATCCTGACAACATCAATAACGTAAAAAATGAAATGGATCGTTTTTCCTTGTCTCGAGGATAAATGTCGCTTTGTGGCTCTTGAGGTGACGTTCCTCGCTGCAGATGCAGAGAAGTGTTTAATTGGAAAAGGTTATTTATTGTTCTGTAAACAGTCAGCCACTTTACATAAATTAGGCTGCTACCTCGCCTTAATGAACAAAGTTTCAGAGGAATTCTCAGAGGCCTGGCGCCAGGCTCCTTCCTTGCAGCAGAAAATGTCAGCTCCTTTCCACAAGGCCCTCCCAAAGGAGCAGCCGTTGTCACGCAGTTGTAGGTCACAAGTCTTTAGAACCCCCTGGTGCTGAGCCAGAGAATTTGCCGAACCATGGGAGGTCAATATTGTCTAGCTCCAACACTGGCAACACTCCCATTGCTTGCGGGGCTCTTAGGAGACATTTAGGGTCAATTAGAACTAACGCAGAGCCTGCGAGCCAGGCCTGGGGGCTGGAAACAAGCTTTGCCCCTGATAAGTAGCCATCCAGCTCACTAAAATCATGCCAGACCAGAGTGCGCCAGAGGAGAGATTCAGCCTCTGTCAGGACAAACACGTGTTCTCCATCGAGTCCCTGTAGCCATAACAACCCATAGCAGCTCCACATGGCTCCGGGTGGGGGAGCACACGGGTCTGGCTGCGAGGGTCCGTTCGTGGCTCGACCATCTGTTTAGCACTTGCCCAAGGCGAGCGGGTGCAAGTATCCCTACGTCGCTATGGGAACCCCCGCCCCCGTCCCGCTGAGCTAGAGCTGCCGGCGGTGGGGGGAAGCGAGAGGCTGTCTCTGTGTCAGAAGGAACCCCGATGGGCTCCGCGAGGGCTTTACGAACCCGACACGTTGCCGGCACTGGCCAGAGCCAGGTGGGTGCAGGGCACGTTTTAGGCCATTCAGCCGGTTCATTTCCCTCTGACCTTGGATCGTTGGAGGTTCCTTCGCAGAGGCTGCCAAACTGGCCACGTGTGAGAGAGCCGGGATGGCGGGGGCAGCGGGTTCCTTGTGGGAGGAGGAAGAACCCCCCTCACCAGCGTGCAGCTCCTGCTGTTAGAACACGCCCCAGGGCCAGCCCTGGAGACTGACTTGCTCTCTGCACAGCCGCAGCCCTGGCAGGGCCTCCAGGGAGAAGAGGGGAAGTCAGCCTGCCTGGTGCCTCTGCCAAGGCTGCCAGCTCTCCGTGAGGTGGGCACCTGGCTGCTAGGAATTGGAGCCCCCCACCCTCCCGCAAGTCACTTCCCCTCCCGTAAGCCACCACCCAGCAATCGGATGGGAATGGCTTGGGCACCCAGCCAGGCAGGAGGGACCAGACTCATGTCAGCCACTTCAAGTGGCAACTGGCAGATCCCACCACGAATCCACGTCGCCACCCAGTCCCGAAGGCGGGCACAACTGTAAAGCACTGGAGTAGGCTTGAGAGGCCTGTGCCCCCTGCTCCCACATGCCTGGTCACCCCTTTTTAATGGCTGCGCCTAGGCCAGCCCTTGTACCAACCTGTGGGCTGGGGGGGTTTCTTGAATCACATTCCCCATCCCCAGCTGTGCCCTGTGCCAGCTCAGCCAGGCCGTGGAGAGGAGCCGGTGCCATCACGTCCTACTCACAGGATAGTTGTGCCCAGAGGCCCTGATAGTTTGGGGAACCCGCGCTGCGGGTAGCGTCCAAGCGCTCTCCCCGAGGGGCTGTTCTTTCCAGATCTCGCGTCGCAGCGGCACCTTTCAGCGTCCGTCTCTCGGCTGCTCCTCTCGCTTGAAGCCCTCAGCCAGGCCGTGGAGAGGAGCCGGTGCCATCACGTCCTACTCACAGGATAGTTGTGCCCAGAGGCCCTGATAGTTTGGGGAACCCGCGCTGCGGGTAGCGTCCAAGCGCTCTCCCCGAGGGGCTGTTCTTTCCAGATCTCGCGTCGCAGCGGCACCTTTCAGCGTCCGTCTCTCGGCTGCTCCTCTCGCTTGAAGCCGCCCGGTGATCTGCGTGGCGCATGGGTCCTGGGAGGGGAGCCAGCGCTCTGAGTGGGAGAGGACAGGATCATGAGGCAAAACTGTTTCCCTCCGTGTTCGCTTCTCTTCCTGGGCAGACCACGGACGATGCAGACGATGCCGTTGGACACAAAATCTTCATTTCCGCCACCATGCAGACAGGGTTCTGTGACTGGAGCGCCAAGTATTTTGCTCAGCCGGTCATGAAGGTAATATTCTCCCTCCCTCCAATCGCAGCCCTCCTCTCTTGGCCACGTGGACAGGCGGGACATCCGTGTTCGCTTCTCTTCCTGGGCAGACCACGGACGATGCAGACGATGCCGTTGGACACAAAATCTTCATTTCCGCCACCATGCAGACAGGGTTCTGTGACTGGAGCGCCAAGTATTTTGCTCAGCCGGTCATGAAGGTAATATTCTCCCTCCCTCCAATCGCAGCCCTCCTCTCTTGGCCACGTGGACAGGCGGGACACCGACTCGGGGGAACGTGGGCGCCGCGTACTCGCCCCTCCCGCCTCGTTCCCTTTGTGATCATCCTGTGATATGAGCGTTGCCCACCCCACGCCCACCCTATCCCTGCGGCTTTTTAGATCCCCGTGCCACCTTGCCTGTACCATGTGGGCGCAGGCTACCAGGGAAAGCGCCCCCCGTGTGAGCAGAAAGGGATGCAAAGCAGGAGTGCGAGTGTGTGGGGAGAGCGTGCTTGTGGGTGCCCCCGCTTGGGTCAGCAAAGCAGCGCTGCCTGGCTGCAAAGGCCAAGTGTGGCCGCAGCTTCCCAGCCGATGGGCAGATGCCATGGCTGAGCCGAGATGCCTATCCCAGTGGCAGAATGTGCTCCACTTACGTCCACTGGGAGACGCCCCGGTCTATACGCAGCTCAGAGTAACAGCTAGGGATGTAAGCGAGTGTTCAAGATGTCAACTGCTCCCCCCCCCCCCACACCCCCAGCCTCTGTATCAGAGGGAGCAAGGGGGTTGGGAACAGGAGCCGGTGCTTGGGGGGAGCTGGCTTAAAAGCTGGTTCTCCACAGTCCCGCTGCCCTCCCCAGCTGTGCTGCTGCCTCTCTTGGAGGTGGGGGGAGGTTGCCGCGAAGCAGCTCCTGTCTGTGTGTGCCCAGGCTTGCCACAGGCAGAGGCTGCTCCAGCAGCAGCCCCTGTCCGCGGAGTGTGCCTGCTCCCCACGGGTACCCCCCGAACAGGGGCTGCTGGACCTGGGCCTAGCTCAGTCCTGGCTCACGCTGGTCCGGGACCCCGTGGCTCTGCAGTTTCAATGTAATGGAAGTCAGGCTGCCTGCACGCCCAGCTCCTACCACATTTAAACTGCAGGGCTGCAGTGGGGGTAGCTCCTGGACCAGCGCGAGCCAGGACTGAGCGCCTTCCCCCATCGACTAATGACGATAAGCCAATTACCCGCCTCTTAACATTCTTAGCCACGGCCAGAAATCCAGCCCTCCACTAACCAGAGTAACTGGGCCACGCTCTGATCTCTGCAGCGATGCCACAAGAACGAGGACTGATTTTAAGGCAGGGAATGGGAGGCGGGACATTCTGCCAAAGAAACTTGACGCCCAATGCCTCCTACGTGATCTGAGTTGTAGAGGGAGGGCTTGTTCCAAAGCAGCGGGCTCCACAGCATTGGAAGTAACTGCGTTTTGCCCATCCTTTTCCTTACTAGGTGCCTGAAACGTTTGGGTTCAAATAGGAGGTTTCTCCCTCCCATCTTGTTGCTTTCTTCTTGCTTAATTCTCCCGTGACGCTGTGATGCTGAATGTTACATGGCAATGATTTCTATAAGGTGGCTGTGCTAAGCAGAGAAGTGATTTAATTGTCCTGTATTTAACACCTACCAAGCACACCGAAGACTAAGCGTGCCTGGCAAGTGGTAACTGAGTCTCACAAGCAAGATGGAAGAGGGTGGGCAGGGAGATAGAATCACAGAACACTGGAACTGGAAGGGACCTTGAGAGGTCATCAAGTCCAGTCCCCTGCCTTCATGGCAGGACCCAGCACCATATAGACCATCCCTGACAGATGTTATCGAACATGCTCTTAAATATCTCCAGGGATGGAGATTTCACAACCTCTCCAGGCAATTTATTCCAGTGTTTAACCACCCTGACAGGTAGGAAGTTTATCCTAATGTCCAGGGCTCGACAATTAGTGTAATGTACTCACCTGTGGCGAGTAGATTACAAGCCGGCACAGCCGCG